AAAGGTTGATTACTCTACTGAATGTATCCAGACATGCCTTCACGATGCCACAGGCACAGCAGTCAGCTCATCCTCATGTCCCCATGCCGGTTTCTTTCACCAGTCTCTTTTTATTTTGTTTTCTCACTTTATCTCTTACTACATCTTCCACTTGTTCATTATCTTCTGCTCTTATTCACATCTATAAAACACAGACATTTTGTATAGCCCATCGCATGGCTGTGGGTGTAACATTAGGTGTTTGTATTTAAGGGGGTATGAAGCTAAATCATCAAAGAGAGTCAAAGCTCTCTCTCTGCCTTCTCTTTTTCAAATATTAAATACACAGATGCTGCGTGTTCTCCTGGTTTTACTCCATCAACATACTGTATACCGCTTTCTTCCTAAATGTATACTGTCCCCCACTGTTCCTTCTTCCTTTTGCTGCCATCAACCTCTGGTTTCAATCTGTCCCCCCCTTAACCTTTTTCTACCCATCTTGATCTTCACCTCCGTCTACTCTCTCCTTCCTCTCCTTTGTGTGCCTCCGTCCAGTTAGGGGTCGGCCAGTGACCTTGTTTGTGTCTAGGTCGTGTTCCCTCTGAGTGCCTGTGCAGCCTCGTGCTGCCACCCGATCAGCCATGCTTTCAGCCTCACTATTGATCGCCTTCAACTCACCCCTCAAGGACGGAAATCCAAACCCATATTCCAGACCGCAGCCCTCCCTCCCTCCCTCCATTCCCCATTTCTTTCTTTTCTCTGCCTCTACACTTTTCTCTGCTATGGCTCTCTCCACCTTTTCGTCTCTTATAGAATTCATCACACACACACACACACACACTCACAAACACACACACACACACGCGCGCGCGCATGCACACGCACACTCCGGTCTCAAGGTTGCAATGACCAGCAGACCCATGAATAAATAATAAGGAGGTAGGAATCACTTTCAGAAAAACCATTTACTCTCCTATTGTGTTCTTAAAGAAGCCATGTGAGTGTGTGTGTGTGTGTGTGTGTGTGTGTGTGTGTGTGTGAGAGAGAATGTGTGTGCTTGCCGAAGTGTGTATGCGTAACAAGAAAAGCTTTGTGAGCGAGACTACAGTGCTTTGTTAACTGAAAGCCTTGCTGCCTCTGGAGTTAACTTGAACGATGCTACAAGCACCTTCCAGGTGACCTCTAACACTAAGGTTTTTTTTCTTGTTTGCTTCTTCCTTTCTTAAAGTATTCAGAGAAATAATCAATGGGCTTGACATGACAGTATAGGAGGATTACCTCTCCCTCTTGTCTACTGTCTTCAAACTCTGTACTGAAATGGTCCAAGGTAATACTTATCACAATAACAGTGGCTTTGTTTTGTTTTTCCCCACACAAATATGCACACAAAATGGACTTTTCTTAAGCCAAGCTGCTTCTTGAGGTGAACTAACTGTTTCTGACTTGATGTATGGCTTGTTACAGCTGGTCTGAAGTGGAGAGAAGAGAGAGAGAGTCTAAAATAAATAAAGGGGCAAGGGATGGAGAAATTACGAGAGCTGGACAGGGACAGGAATGAAGAGGAAAATATCAGTTTGAAGGGGGAAAGAAGAGCACATATCACAAAGACATTTGAGGAGATAAGGTAAGGGATAGGAAGAGTGAGAAAGACAAAGGGAATGAGGCAGAGAAAGAGACAATATGAGAGGAAAAGACTGCAACAAAAAAAGAGGAAGAAAGACATAGACCAAGAAAGACAGACAGAGAGAGAAATGATTAGATTTCTCTCTCCTCTCTATGGATCAGGGCGAGAGCTCCCTTTTCAATCCAATCAAGCTCAGGCAAAGGTAAACAATCAGTCTTGGTAAAGGATTGGATAAATCCTCAATCAGACTCATTCTCAGTAAAGCAGATATTTATTGGGTTGGCCTCACATGGCTAAATTGGATCCTCCTTCTGAGAGAGGTGAAGAGAGAGAAAAGGGTGAGAAAGAGGAGTCTTCATCATCTCAGTCCAAGATGGCCTTGATTAAAGTTTTGTGGGCAAAATTGTCTTTGCATTACAAAATAATAGAAACTATAAAAAGTCTTTCCCAGTAATACTTCTGGACTGAAAATGCAAAAGAAAATCCACTGCATATCACAAGTCAGACATCACATTCCTGTGATCTTAAAAGGACCCATCACAATGTGGGACACAAGCAGCTCTCTCCCAAAGCTAAAAACCGGAAATAGATACAAGATTTTAAACAGATTTTAAACAGCTTATCCGATTTATAAAATATTAAGCTGTGATGTCTTTAAAGACTCTGTGGTTCACTTTGCAGTGGGTCTGTTTATCAATAAATGTAGTAAAAATGTTGTCGGCATAAATTTGTAAGTGTATTGTTTCTCTGAAGGGTGAATACAGAGAGCATTATGAGGACATTGCTGCTAAACTGGAGTACATTCATAAATAATAACAAAGCAGCCAGAAGACTTGAGCATCCTGTGTGTCTGCCAGCACCTAGAGGCAAATACAAACTTCTCGGTGAGGACGGAAAAAAAGGAGACATGATTCACTTTGGTAACTGTTTGGCTGTTGTATTTCTTTTACTTTTTCCTGAGGAGAATCTACGAGTATCCGAAAAAATAAGGGAGTCTTGTTCAAAGATAAGATGAAAACTACTGTTACATCATTACTGAAAGTATAACACAAGAGCATTTTTTTTAAATGTTTGGCTACAGTTTATTCAGTTATCCCTCTAAAATACTGACAAGTAGAATGAACTAACAAAGTTAAATGCAAACCCTGTAAGCAAAAATGTGCTTATCACAAAACATCGAACATGGCAGACCACTTCAAATTGGTTAGTTTTACTGTATATGAGCTAGACGGCCATTCTGCAACTATCAGGGCAGATAAACTATATAATGCAGGAAATATTTATATTTACAAGGCAATAACATATGTTATATATTTCTCTGCTTGGACCATCCCACGTACAGTAGCCAAGATGACCACGACGCATCTACTTCAACTTTGAGGCCCCCGCAAATTACCGACAGCATCGCATATTTCATAACACTAGATATGAGCCCTGTGATTATTATTGAGGATGCAGGATTTAAGAAGCTGACGCATACTTCGGAGCCAAGGTAGACTGTCCCTAAAAGAGACACTGTTATGTCTCCAGTGATGGCAAAATATGGCAGAACGAGAGAGGTGGTCATGGAGTAAATGAAGCAATGTGCAGCAGTAAGTTTCACCGCACACATTTGGACGTCACAGCAAATGGATGTTTGACTCGAGTTCTGGATTTGTTTTGGAAACAAACGAGACAAGAGAGTCACATCGCAGAAGTCATGGATGCATATGACATTTCATGAGAAAAGTAGTAGTTCTCATACATGACAAGGCAGCAAACATGACATATATATATATATATATATATATATATTTAATGAGGCTATAAGAGT